TCTAGCTGCAGCAGAACCTCCTCTAGCAGCAACACAACGTCCTCTAGCAGCCTCCTTTAGCTGCAACAGAACCTCCTCTAGCAGCAACACAACGTCCTCTAGCAGCCTCCTTTAACGGCAGTAGAACCTCCTCTAGCTGCAGCGGAGCCTCATCTAGCAGCAGGAGAAGAAGCAGGTCGGCTCTTCTTCATGTCTGTGTTTTCTGTTTCCTGGTCGGTGGTTCAGCTGCTTTCCTCCCTGTGATGTAATTTGTTAGATTCTGAGCTGCACCAGAACCATCTTTATTGGGTCATGATGACCACATCCATACTTCACTGCTTCTGGCCTTGAACCTCACTGGTTTAGACAAACACATTCGGTTCTGTTGGACCTCAAGGCTCAGATATCTTCCCACTCTGACAGCAGTTTACTCTAAACGCAGGTCCAAACCTGCGGCCCGGTATGTATTCTATACAGTCTGTGTTTGGATTATCCAGAGAAGAAACATCTGCTGCTCAAACGGGCCAATCAGAGGCGAGGAAACAGGGCCTGCATCAGCTGGGGCCACATCCACGGGCGCTGCAGAGCTTGCTGTTTGACAGAGATGTTACAGAACACAGATGCATGAACCAAACTGAGCCCCCCGCCCCCCCGGGTTGTTCCTGTAGGTTCTACCTGCAGGCTGCAGCTTGGCTCGGTTCTGCAGCCGACCCAGTTCGGTTTGGTTCAAGCTAAACAGAGAAAACACTGACACTGGACCAGGACTGTTCAGCATCTGTTTCTATAGCAACAGCAGATATGAAATAAACCGGACCTGTTTGTTTATATTCTTCATTTTAATTTTGATATTTGCAGGAAAGGATTTCGGACAGAAAGTTGGTTCTGACTGATTTTGCGATTCTCACAGAACCTTTTCCAGCCGCTCCCTCTCTGTTCAGACATGTGCTTCCAAGATGGGCTGTCTCACCCACAGAGGTTCCTGTTTGGAGCCGGCGGGCCTCAGGGCAGGACTTCCTCTTGGTAGGTCTGGAAAAATTAAGACTCGAACAGCTTAAGACAAACACTAAGAAAAAAGCTAATTAAAAGAGCTGTGGGGACATTTAAGGTCTTGAATTGTGTTCTGCTTGTGAGTTCAGAGGAGTTGGATTGGTTCCAGCTGTGCAGGAGATCCGAGTGAAGGAGTCGTCAGAACCAAGCTCGTTAAAGCTGCAGGAAGACTCGCGTTTTACACTGAAAGTGTGATGGAGGCCCTGATCTATAGCAGCTGGTTCTGAACTTGGTCTTCTGCTAAATGCTGGTGGAGATTCTCAGTCATTCCAGTTTCAATGTGCATGTTTTCTAAGCCCTAACAGGGCTTTTGTTGAGCTACTCTGTAAAAGTCTGGAACTCAACGCTTTTCCAGACATTTTATATTCAGCAAGCTTCCTGGATGGGAAGCCAAACATCTTCAAACTTGGAAAAACCAAGTCGAGTGGTTTGTTTTTTAACTTTAACTTTTTGGAATTGGTCTTCTGCTGTTTCTGGATGGGACTGAAATGAACTCCAGAACTGTAACATTTGACCCAAATCCAGCAGAAGGTCTGTCATGGTAAGTTCTGTTTGGTTCTGGTGGTGCAACCTGGAGAACTACGGAGCCCCTCTGATGACATGGTCAAAAAAAATGTTTAATTGTGGCCACGAAGTAGTATTTCATGCACACGAAGTAGTATTTCA